ATTTTTTTTTAATTTACTACTAGTATATATCTGGGCGTGCATTTAGAGAGGATATGCACTTATAGAAGGTGCACTTAGAGAGGCCTGACTGTAATATATGATTTTTATTAACCAATAAGATAAATAACCCAGATTCTTTTTTTTTGTAAAAACCTCTTATACCCGAAAATAAGCTACTTAATGATCGCCAGTAGTTACTTTATAGTAAAGTCACAATTTTACTAAGTAAATCGATCTACCATATTAAGTGAAAATTGCTCAGGAGATCAAAATACATATATTCTAAAAGTTTCATCTAAATTGGATAGCTTTTTATTAATATGTTTTTGCATATTACCTTCGACGAATTTCTTAAAATTTCTTTAAAATTTATATTTGTTGAGCGTAAAAATCAAAAGTTAATAAAAAATCATTCGATTTACATGAAATTTTCAGAATATGTGTATTTTGATCTCCTGAACAAACTTTACTTAATACACATGATTGGTTTACTTAATAAAATTTTTCGCAATTGAGCAAAAATCACTTTTACCCTAAAATAAGCTACTCGCAAAATTTTCATACAAAGTTTTGGCCAAAAATGGTAGCTTATTTTTGGCAATATACGATAAGCATTTAAAAGTTATTTAAGAATTATTCTTCGCACAAGAGTATTGGTATTATTGTCATTTATTTGTCATTTTAATGTCATTTGCAAAAATATTTTTTATGACTTATCATTTTGCCATGGTTTTGTATAAAATTTTTTTTATAATAAATGACATTGTCATTTTAAAATGACATGTCATTTATGATCATTTTCATAAAAATTTTTACGACCTTGTTCTTTGCCATTACTGAGTAAAATGGGGTGGTGAATGTATCCCGGATCCAATACTCTCATTTGTGATCAAAGACAGGATAGGGAAGAAGATAAAAGTTCTTGAAAAGATAGCGGAAAGTAAGAACAAAGTCAAAGGGGCGCTCCTAAAAGGATTAATAGTGGACAATATAATCTCATTTATTGCATTTTTGTATATATATAGAAATAACGCTATGTGGTAACATGTAATATAATATTAAATAAAGTACGCCAATTGACGTCCCTTGCGAAAAAGGGTAAAAAAAGAATATGCCTCCAAGGAAATCTCAACTAATCAAAACTCTTTTTTACAAGTAAAGCATCTAACACAGCGAGAATTGTCCATTTACGATTTTCAGCTTCCTGAAATACAACGGATCTTGGTGAATAGAAAACCTGTAATATAGTTTGTTATATTATAAATTAATAAAAGGAGAGAAAAATATAAAAATCAGACATCCGTTAGTAAAGAAGTAATCACCTCATCTGTAACTTCTTCCTGCTTTCTTGGAAGACAGTGTAAAAATTTCCAATGAGATTTAGCACCACCATCTTTTGCTAATGATGACGTTACTTGATATCCTGCAAAGTCTTTAAGACGTTTCGCTTTTTCAGATTCTTGGCCCATACTAACCCTATTTTATCGAAATGATAATATCATATTAATAAGTTACAACTCAATCATCAAAAATAAAAATAATATTTAAGCATACCAAGTATCAGTAACAATGGCATCAGCATCCTTTATAGCCTCCTTAGGATCATGCGTAAAACTAATTTTAGTATTAGTTTTAACTGCCTCATCTTGTGCGATTTTTACAACTTCCTCTGCTGGATTGTATCCCTTAGGTGTAGCTATTGATAGATGCACACCTAATTTCGGAAATGTAACCAGCATACTATGCAATATATTATTACCATCTCCGATCCATGCAACTTTCAATCCTGGAAGTGTTTTTTTAGGATGTGTCAAATGTGCAACATACGATGACTCATCTTTGGGTTGAGGTCCAAATACTTCATGCATTGTCATTAGATCCGCAAGAATTTGTGTTGGATGATACTTGTCTGATAATGCGTTTATCACAGGAACAGTAGAATATTTTGCTAATGTCTAATTTATATGAATTACTAAATTATGAGACATGATACATACGATATAGATACGAATACCAATAATCTTTACCTCAATATCAGAGTGGGAACCAACACGCGCCATTATTCCGTTTACCATGCTTGACACAACCTTGCTAGTATCCAGTAATGATTCATTTACACCTAGTTGAATATCTTGAGATCCTAAGAACATTGGCTGACCACCTGCATTAAAAATAATTTAACCAGAATTAATCCACGTGATCAGTTTGAGCTGACGATCAAATCTAAGTTTAGGGGTCGGTTAAAGCGGGGCGAATTCAATATATGATCTACATACTGCATAAGTTGCATTCTTGATATCTATATAACCCGCGCTAACAATATCCGCATCAAAAAGGTATCCCTAAACCTCGCTCCGCTTTAACCGAACCGTATGTTTAGTAATATCTATATATATCGATATATATCTATATCTTCTTATATTTAAAAAATTGGACTTCTGCACGGTAATCAGACATTGCATATTCGTGTAACATTCGTGCATACCGTGGTAATACATTTTTTATGTGCCCGACGGGTAAGTTTTTCACGAAAATGTATCCCATGCCAAAATTTATCCGAATATTGCAGAAATTTTTGATTTCCGTCAGCAAAGACTCCATATAACCTGTGTTCCAGCTGTTCCAGCTGCTTTCATATGAGTGTCGTCATGGAAAACCTGTCATCAGGCTTTCAATTATATTTTGTGCCCATAGGAAGACTTTCGTATGATTGGCTGATTAAATCAATTTAATTTTACATTATTTATACAGTTTAAAGTACTTTTTAAAAAAAAAATCAAACTACGAAGAATAAACAAAAAAGAAGTATATAGAAAGTTTTATTAGGGTTGTAGGACTCCAGTATTAAAAATAATCAAAATCATTTCTGGTTTTAGAGGTAATAACCTAATTCTATCTATTTTTAAGAAGTCGCTATTATGCTAACTTCTCTAAAACCAGAAATGATTTTGATTATTTTTAATACTGGAGTCCTACAACCCTAATAAAACCTTCTATATACTTCTTTTTTGTTTATTCTTCGTAGTTCGATTTTTTTTAAAAAGTGCTTTAAACTGTATAAATAATGTAAAATTAAATTGATTTAATCAGCCAATCATACGAAAGTCTTCTGTGCCCAGTTTATTCTTTGAGTGCTGTCTAGGGAAAATCCATCATCGGGCTTTCAATCATATTTTGTGACAAGTCATTACATATATAATTAAAAGTCAGATGATAGATTTCCCTAGACGGCACTCAGAAAACAAACTAGACACAAATATAATTGAAAGCCTGATAACAGGTTTTTCCTTGATGGCATTCATATTTTCCAGTAACCGAATCAATAAGTTACTGACGTTGGCTGATATTAAAAACTTATCAATTCAGTCATTTTCAAGTGTCTCAGAATTTATAGAAACAGCTGTAATGCAGATCCAACAACTTCATATATAGCCCTTTTATATAAGATAAACGGTCTGCAATATTCGCATAACATGTTTGTAGCGTTTATTCCATACCATATACCATCGTATGATTACGAACTCTAACACTAGTAGTAAATTAAAAAAAAATTAAATACATACCAAGATAAGCTATCGCAGTTTCGGTAGCAACTCTTGTTCTTGTAGATCTTTTTGAAAACATTATTGCCAAAGTCTTGCCACTCAAAGGTTGATCCGATTTTTTATTCAGATACTTCACATTATACTTATGCTGAATTGCTGATGTTAATAAATTGTAAATTTGTTGAGATGTTAAATCGGCATGAGTTATATAATGAATTCCTGGTGGTGCTGGTTCAATTTTCAACGACGTTGAATAAGAGTTTGATCCGAGATAATTAAAATATGAAATCGGCGAAATCCATTTATTGATTGGACTAATGTTTGATGATGTTCGATTGATTATAAATTTAAAGTTCGCAGTGGAAAAGAGACGGGAATTTAACAACATTGTGAACGTAGGTAAATACTTTGAAGGAAAAAATTATCTTTATTAATCATTTCATCGTCTGATTGACACAATAATATAATCTTTGATACACAATCTCAAAGTGTAAACCAACGAGATAATCTATAATCAATTTAACTGACCAATTAAGTTGACCAATTAAATTAAGAATTTTTAATCAATCTGGATCAATCTAGCGTGGTAGCTCTCGTTTCGATTGGCTAATTATTGTAGATCATTAACTTTATGAGTCTGATTGACTAATGTAACTATACTAAAAAGACGATTTATATTTAATTAATTGCCCGAGAACATCACGATAGAGTACGAATTCTCTCTATTTTAATTGGTTGTTCAAAAATAAACCTTCAATAGCTCGACAGGCTCGTATACTAATCTGATAACAGATAAATCTCAATTAAAACTGGAATTCCATATATACAAATATTATGCTTGATATGCTATAATACCCATAAGTGTAATTTGTGTATATCGATATTAATTCTATAATTAAACATGAACTTTGGCAAATAATTTACATTCGAGAAAAGAAATAACCTTTCTTATGTAGTAATATTACGACTATAGGTGCAGACTTATGACATCACCTAGTTACGTCCTATATAAAAAATTGGGTTATAAACTGAATCGTAACTAATGACGTAAATAAGTCTGCATCTAGAATTACGACAGCCTCCATAAATAATATAACTATTTCGAGATCATGTGGGATTAATGAATAATATGAGTAATTATTTTTGAAATCGGACCAATTTTATATATGACGTAATACCATTTTTTGGTCTTGATTCAAAAATATCCTGATTCGTATGTGAATAAGCGGAAACTTCGTTTCCGCTAATCCCAACGGATTGAACAAATTATTCCTTACTCAGAAACCAGCCAACCCTATTCTGTTACAACTACATAATTCATAGTTTACTATGTTCACCGTTCGCTTGTTCACAAATGTTTTTCATATCTCTTAATGCTTTAATCATGCTTTCTTTTAAAGCTTTAGAATCAGTCTCTGATGATGAAAATTTTGATTCTATACTAACTTTAATTGAATGTTCGTCTTTATACGTAAAAAGATAAAATATTTTAACACAAATGATGATAACATTATTTAAGTAGAATGGTTTGATATTTACCTGGAAGATAGTTAATGCCATACCCATTAGGGCAAACACATCCAAATCCAGCTCCTTTAAACAACATAAACATATATTATATACAAATGCTATATTTAAAAACACAAAATAAAGTTTCAACAAACAAAATCAAGCGTAAAACATACCGTAAGCATAATCCGCAGAACCTAAGCTACTTGTACTCAATAACCATTCCTGACTTTTTGCAAAGATCGGTTCTTCAAAAATTGGATGTGACTCTCCCGTTTGTAACAATAGTCGAAGCCCTAACAAATGGCGATCACAACCTTTACCATTAGAAGCATCTATCGAGTATTTAGTATGAGCCTTAGTCGCTGCTTGTAGTAGATCATACTTTTGTTGAACCTATAAAGTCAAATAATAAATAAATCAGAAATTTTATATATAAAAAAAAAAGGATATTTACACAGACATACACTTAATGATTTATCCAGCATCCCTTCTACAAATGCTTTACTTTCCACACTCAAAGTTCGGATTGTTTCAGTACGTCCTCGCAAAAATTGTCTTGTTGCACCTGTCTCATAAGTTGGAACAACTCTCCCGTGGAGTTGATAATACGCCAACTGAATGACCATTTGGAAATATGCATCAGGCGAGCATTTTCCTATATAATAGTAATATTAATTTATTACGGTCAAATAACCGCAGAAATGTCTGGAATAATTAATTACCAAACTTCTTTATGAATTGTGCACCATATTCCGAAAATTGCAAGTGAGTTGCATCAGAATCAGCGATTAACGCCTTAGTTTTGTTCTCTGCAACAAAAATATCCTTTAATGTTTGTTCATTAGTAACAAAACGTATTCGGAAAGGAGGAGGTATGGGACGGCCAGATAGATGGGCGTTCAATGTAACAGGCACTTTGAGAATCCATTTAAACATCAATAAAGGTATAAGAGCGTCGCATGGTGAATGCTAATAAAAGATATTATGTTAAAAGATATTATGTAATTACTATATATAAAAAAAACATTGTTTACAAAAAATTATACCTCTCCATTCATTCCCGCACGTCCATTACTATCTACGATAATTGACATTGATTTATCGAACCAACGGTTATGACCATCAACCCCATGAAATATATTACCAAGGAATTTATCAAGATCCGTTCCCGTTGCATAGTCATCCAAGTTGACTGCAAATAATGCGTTCTCAATTAGAGTTAATGATTCTCTGTTTTGCGGCGAAATTGCCAGTAGACGTTCTCGCGACTTATGAAAAATCTGTTAATAATAATATAATGACTAATATAACAAAATTTCATTTAGAAACTTACCATGGTCCAAGAATCACGATCATCAGTGGTGAGAATACCAATTGGAGGATCAAGCTGTGTATTTTCAACATCAGCAATAATGTCATTAAGCTGTCTTTATTCAAATATTATTAGAATTTATTTATTTATTTTTTTTTTGTAAACTATTAATATATCATATAATCATTTACTTTTCAATATCACCAGCGGTCAATCGTAAACCATCTTGATCATATCCCTTCAAAATATAAAATTGATTTTTCACGATAACCAATATATGTTTTACCGGTGTTGGATGTGGTGAATACACAAGTTTATCGCAACCATGTTGCGGAATTCGTGTATATCCAAAAAGACGTGTATATTGAAACATACATAAAGGGTACGCCTGTGTAGTGTTTGGTGGAATTTGCTCACTAAAAACCAAATTAACATGGTAAGATTTATCTGAAACATCGATATCATTTAATAGATAAAATTAATGTTACCTATCAATCAAACTTTTATATTCTAATAGTTTATTGATCAAGTGTGCCGCTCTTTTGATCTGAAATTCCAAAAAATGACCTCGCGGTTTAACACCGTTGTTCACAGAAAAATATTCGCGTGGTGTTGATAATACGCCAACTGAATGACCATTTGGAAATATGCATCAGGCGAGCATTTTCCTATATAATAGTAATATTAATTTATTACGGTCAAATAACCGCAGAAATGTCTGGAATAATTAATTACCAAACTTCTTTATGAATTGTGCACCATATTCCGAAAATTGCAAGTGAGTTGCATCAGAATCAGCGATTAACGCCTTAGTTTTGTTCTCTGCAACAAAAATATCCTTTAATGTTTGTTCATTAGTAACAAAACGTATTCGGAAAGGAGGAGGTATGGGACGGCCAGATAGATGGGCGTTCAATGTAACAGGCACTTTGAGAATCCATTTAAACATCAATAAAGGTATAAGAGCGTCGCATGGTGAATGCTAATAAAAGATATTATGTTAAAAGATATTATGTAATTACTATATATAAAAAAAACATTGTTTACAAAAAATTATACCTCTCCATTCATTCCCGCACGTCCATTACTATCTACGATAATTGACATTGATTTATCGAACCAACGGTTATGACCATCAACCCCATGAAATATATTACCAAGGAATTTATCAAGATCCGTTCCCGTTGCATAGTCATCCAAGTTGACTGCAAATAATGCGTTCTCAATTAGAGTTAATGATTCTCTGTTTTGCGGCGAAATTGCCAGTAGACGTTCTCGCGACTTATGAAAAATCTGTTAATAATAATATAATGACTAATATAACAAAATTTCATTTAGAAACTTACCATGGTCCAAGAATCACGATCATCAGTGGTGAGAATACCAATTGGAGGATCAAGCTGTGTATTTTCAACATCAGCAATAATGTCATTAAGCTGTCTTTATTCAAATATTATTAGAATTTATTTATTTATTTTTTTTTTGTAAACTATTAATATATCATATAATCATTTACTTTTCAATATCACCAGCGGTCAATCGTAAACCATCTTGATCATATCCCTTCAAAATATAAAATTGATTTTTCACGATAACCAATATATGTTTTACCGGTGTTGGATGTGGTGAATACACAAGTTTATCGCAACCATGTTGCGGAATTCGTGTATATCCAAAAAGACGTGTATATTGAAACATACATAAAGGGTACGCCTGTGTAGTGTTTGGTGGAATTTGCTCACTAAAAACCAAATTAACATGGTAAGATTTATCTGAAACATCGATATCATTTAATAGATAAAATTAATGTTACCTATCAATCAAACTTTTATATTCTAATAGTTTATTGATCAAGTGTGCCGCTCTTTTGATCTGAAATTCCAAAAAATGACCTCGCGGTTTAACACCGTTGTTCACAGAAAAATATTCGCGTGGTGTATTAGAGTCGTCAACGTACAAGTGAAACCAGTTAGAATTCACAACAACAGAAACTCTCCATTCTTGATATGCTTTTTTTATCCACCAATTATCATCAAGCCAATTATTAGGCGATATACGATCGATGTCGATTAGACGCTGTTGAAGAACACGACCTAAACCATTAGGTTTGATAAAATCTTTAATATGAGCTTCATTTCTTGCAAGGTCTTTGGCGGATAAAAGAGGACGAAGTGAATGCAAATATTTTGTCGTAGTCTCTTCGAGAGTTGGAACAGGAAGTCTTGGTATACGACTTTGGTTACTAAATGTTTTATCTCGATTACTTTGGCTAACCATGGTTAAAGCACATACGTACGTATGTACGTATGAAAGTGCGATATTCGTGATATTTATTTGAAGGTGAAGACAGATGGCAATTCATGATCATAAGATAATCATGCTGATCTAGTCATTTATACTGTACCATACAGATCGCCATTAAATGAGCGAATTTATAATCTGTGCTCGGTTTGAGCTCACGTGATGATGATCATGTAACGTTCAATGAACTTATGCACGTGCATGCATAGAACTAGTTATAGAACTGCAGAAGCGGCAATTTTAATTATAAAATTCTTACGCGAAATACAATCTTATACGTGACAATACACATAAATTTTATGCTTATTCCTTAACATAGGATATTTTTTCTTAATTGAAAAGCCAACTA